AACAGCAAAAAAACTAAGATAATGGCCACTGGTCCCATCACCTCCTGGCAAATAGAAGGGGAAGAAATGGAGACAGTGAGAGATTTTACTTTATTGGGCTCCATGATCACTGCAGATGGTGACAGCAGCCACGAAATTAAAAGACACCTGCTACTTGGGAGAAAAGCAATGACAAACCTAGACAGCATCTTAAAAAGCAGAGACATCACCTTGCTGACAAAGGTCCGTATAGTTAAAGCTATGGTTTTCCCAGTAATGATGTATGGAAGTGAGAGCTGGACCATAAAGAAGGCTGACTGCTGAAGAATTGATGTTTTTGAATTATGGTTCTGGAGGAGACTCTTGAGAGTCCCATGGACGGCAAGAAGATCAAATCTATCCATTCTGAAGGAAATCAGCCCTGAGTGCTCACTGGATCCTGAAGCTGAGGCTCCAATACTTTGGCCACCTCATGAGAAGAGAAGACTCCCTGGAAAAGACCCTGATGTTGGGAAAGATGGAGGGTACAAGGAGAAGGGGACGACAGAGGACGAGATGGTTGGACAGTGTTCTCGAAGCTACCAGCATGAGTTTGACCAAACTGCGGGAGGCGGTGGAAGACCAGGGCCTGGCGTGCTCTGGTCCATGGGGTCACGAAGAGACAGACACGACTAAATGACAACAGTGCGCAAGTAGTGAGTCTCGTTGCGCAGCGCGTAAAAGCGCGTGGCGCCGGTCCCGGCAGATACCCACCCAACCGCCGGTGACTTCCCTACCTTGTACTCTTGGGACGCCTCTTCCATGGGACACACGCGGTGCTCTCGGTGCTCCTTGGACCTGTCGCACACCACGCAGATGGGCGCTTCGTCGTCCTTGCAGAAGAGCTTCAGCGGCTCCTGGTGCGCTTGGCACATGCGCCCCTGCCCCGCGCCTGATGCGCGCCTTCCTCCCCCTTCTCCCTGTTGGAGTTTCTTGAGCAGCTCCGCGACGTTGGCTAGTTGCCGGTTGGGCTTGAAGTTCCTGGGCTGCACGGCTTCTTTGCACTCCGGGCAGCAGGAGGGAGAGTCGGGGCCGGATCCTTCCCAGAGACCCGCCAGGCAGGCGCGGCAGAAGTTGTGCCCGCAGTCCAGAGTCACCGGGTCTCTGAAGTAGTCCTGGCAGACGGAGCACGTCACTTCATCGCAGAGCCCTTGCACGGCCGCCATCGCTGCGTCTCCCTGGAGAGTCCTAAGAGACACCCTCTTTTTAAGTTTCGTTTCTCCCTTCCGAGGCTGCCTGGGCGTTTCCTTGCGGGTTGATCCCTGGGGAAAGCAGAGGAGGCTCCTGCGAGAATAAACCGCGCGGTGGAAGCTGGAGGAGCCGCTTTCAGAGCAGAAGCAGCTTAAAAATAAATAGAGAGAGCCTTAAAATATCAATGACTTCCCTTCTCCTCTATACATGTTTCATTTTGCATAACCTAAATCCCTGCATATTTTACTTAACTAAACTGAACCATTCAGCATTCCATTATTTCGTCCATCAAAACTTATTTACACTGTTGAATTTATCTTAAAGCTGCCCACGGTTTGAAATAAACACAATTTTCCTCCATATATTCAGTAAACATTTTCCAATCTTCTTTAAACGTATGTTCTTCTTGTTCTCTTATTCTATATGTTAGGTCCACAAGCTGCACATATTCCATCAGCTTAAGTTGCCATTCTTCTTTAGATGGGACCTCGCTCGTTTTCCATTTTTGGGCTAACGACACCTGGGAATTTCCCCAACAAAAAGGACTCTAAGTTTGCTTGTTTTTGAAAAGTGCTTTTAAACATTTTTTTCCAATTCATTACATTGATATTTTAAGGTTGTTTACATGAATATTCTAAAATGTAAAATAGAAAAATAAATTATATATATAAGTAATATATATATATAAATATTTAACAATAATATAATATAATATAATATAAGTGTGTGTGTGTGTGTGTGTGTATTAAAATAGAGTAGGGTTTTTTCATATATATTTATTTATATTTATATTTATTTTTCATATATTTATTTATAATAAACGTATAATAACCGAGGTCAATGGAAAGGGGGAAAAAGTTCAGAAAAGGACCATCAAAATGATCAAGGGGATCACTGGTCAGTCGCCATCTCTTAGCCTAGGCTACCTCACAGGGTTGTTGTGAAGATGAAATGGGGAGGAAGAGAACCATGTACACCACCTTTTGATCCTTGGAAGGCTAAGGTGGTGTAATAAATAAATAAAATAAGAAAGGCTGCAATGTTTGGGACTTTTTAGTTGAAAGGCACTCAAGAGGCAGCATGAGAGAACTTTACAGTGGTACCTCGGGTTAAGTACTTAATTCGTTCCGGAGGTCCGTTCTTAACCTGAAACTGTTCTTAACCTGAAGCACCGCTTTAGCTCATGGGGCCTCCTGCTGCCGCCGCGCTGCCGGAGCACGGGTTCTGTTCTCATCCTGAAACCTGAAACAAAGTTCTTAACCTGAAGCACTACGGTATTTTTGGGTTAGCAGAGTCTGTAACCTGAAGCGTATGTAACCTGAAGTGTATGCAACCCGAGGTACCACTGTATAAGTTTCCAAGCATAATTCAAAGTGTTGGTGTTGACCTTTAAAGCCCTAAATGGCCTCAGTCCTGTATACCTGAAGGAGCGTCTCCACCCCCATCGTTCTGCCCGGACAATGAGGTCCAGCTCTGAGGTCCTTCTGGCAGTTCCCCCACTGTGAGAAGCAAAGTTACAGGGAACCAGGCAGAGGGCCTTCTCGGTGGTGGCACCCTCCCTGTGGAACGCCCTCCCACCAGATGTCAAGGAAATAAACAAGTATCGGACTTTTAGAAGACATCTGAAGGCAGCCCTGTTTAGGGAAGTTTTTAATGTTTGATGTTTTATAGTGTTTTTAATATTCTGTTGGGAGCCACCCAGAGATAAATTATTATTATTATTATTATTATTATTATTATTATTATTATTATTTACTACTACTGTGAGAACAGGATGCTGGACTAGATGGGCCATTAGCCTGATCCAGCAGTCTCTTCTTATGTTCTTAAAACAAAAGTAAAATGGAATAGCCAGAACTAAACACATTAGAACAAATTTCCATACAAAAATCAAACACTATAGATTAATAGCGCAAGGTTCCAAGTAACATGATGGAGTCAGAGGTAATGAAAGGCATACAGCCCATTAATTCTAGTTTTGTCCCTATCTTCTTCTTCTTTTATATAATAACTTTTATTAAATTTTCTGCTTTATAATTTAATAAACATTTTACAAACTTCAAAATATCCAGTGACTTCCCTTCTTTTCTTTCCATGCTTCATTTTACATATCCAAATCCCTGCATATTTTACTATAACCATTCAAATCAATTTTCCACTTTTACATCCATCAAGAATTATTTACTCTGTTGAGGTTATCTTAATGCTGCCAGTGTTTTCAGCTGTACAGAGTTATTTCCCATATACTCAATAAATGTTTTCCAATCTTCTTTAATTGTATGTTTTTCTTGCCCTCTTGTTTTGTCCCTATCTTTTAACCTGTTGATTTCTGGAAAATATTTTTAATTTATTTACGTTTATACAGTGTGCATTTTATTTCAAAATATTAGGATGCTAAGTTACATAGAAGTTAGAACATGTTAGGAAACTTGTTTTCAAATTGTTTTATGACTAGATAGGCTGGAGGAAGTTAGAAGGAAATTGTTACATTGACCATGATTAGTTTACACAACTCTTTATTTATCTTGTTTCCTTATCTTGTTTCTTTAAATTGCTGCTTTTAACTGTGTTTACCAATATTTTATGTTTCATTCTTTTTGTAAACAATTCCAAGATCTCTTTTTAAAGAATCACATGGTGTATAACTTTTATGAAATAAATAAAATGAATAAATACCCAGAAGTGGCTAAAAGCGCCTCCAGACAGTCACTATTTTGTGGTAAGTTGTGGTAAGTTTGCATCAGAAATTTAGGTTTGAACATTTAAAGGAGGGGTCAGCAACCTTTTCCAGCCATGGGCCAGTCCACCGTCCCTCAGATCATGTGGTAGGCCAGACTATATTTTTTGGGGGGAAATGAACGAATTCCTATGCCCCACCAATAACCCAGAGATGCATTTTAAATAAAAGCACACATTCTACTCATGTAAAAACACGCTGATTCCTGGACCGTCTGTGGACCGGATTGAGAAGGCGATTGGGCCGCATCCGGCGCCTGGGCCTTAGGTTGCTTACCCCTGATTTAAAGGTTTGAGCATTTAAAGTGGAGCTGGTCACCTACCCCAAGGCAACAAACCCACTTAACGAAAAAAATAACCTGACTTCCTGCAGTTTGGAAAGTGTCTAAGAAATGCATTAAAAAGTGTGGGCTAACTTAATAACAGGGAGGCACGCATACACTCTGAAAGCAAATAAGGAGATTTATTTATTTATCCATCGCCTTTTGAAATGAAAGAGCCACAAAGTGACTTGTGAAAGGTTTAAAGACAAAAAATACAGCAAATATGCAATCGGTTAAGACTAAAGTGTTTATCCGAATAATCAATGAAGGAGTTTTGTTCCCCATCCAACCAGGATGTGGGTGAATGCAGAACAAACAACTGTCTGTCCTCGTGTAACTGCCACACCAGCAAAGCAGAAGGAATATTCGGGAAAGACTAGATAAAGCCAAACCTCTATGTAAGCAAATGAGGGCGAATGCTTGATAAATGTGTTGCCCTGAGGGGCCCAGACTCTAGCCTCTTGCTTGGCTCTGAGAAAAGCATATGTTATGTACTGAGTTGAATAGGATCCAGAATGCAGCAGTCTGATTGGTCCACAGGAGCCACCCAACCCAGCTCCAGGTGGAAGTGAATCCACAACCTGGTTGGCCTACAGGTGAATCCCAGAATTAGCCAATCACGTGGGGCCCATTGTGTAAACAATGTATATAAAGCAGACATTCTAGGGGAACTTCCATTCCTCCTCACCACTTTGAGCTGAATAAAGAGCATGAAATCCACTTTCTACTCCAAGTATATTTCAGCATAGATCTGAGGTGGGGAACCTGTGGCCCTGCAGATGTTGCTCATCGTTCCCACCAGCCCCTAGCCAGCATGAGGGATGATGGGAGCATCTGGAGGGGCGTCAGATTCCCCACCTCAATGCTTGTAGTCGACAGGGCCTCCATTAATGATTGTGTGTGTGTGTGGTGTAAATGAGGATTCCCCTCAAAATTCAGCAATTCATTGTGACCCCTGAGACCACCTGGAAAAAGGGCAGGATCCTCTCCCCGGAGAAGGAGGCTGAAGGGAAAGCAAAGATCAAGCCATCTGAATCGGCATCAAAAAAGTGGACCTGGCCCCCTTCATAGTCCAGGGACACCCGGATCTTCCTGGGCTCGTGGCTCAAGGCCAAAGGAGTCCACTCAGGGGAAGTTAAACCAAACAGCTGGCAAGGCCAAGGTGGGCTGTGCGGTCTCTTCCCCACAGCCCAGATGCCTTCCTTCGGACTGAAGCTGAAACACCCCTTCCTCCTGAGGGAAACTCGCGCCACCCCTAAGGCCCACATCGCCCCTTCCTCCTCTTCCACCTCCACCTCCCACCAGTGTCTTCCCGACGTGAATCTCTCGCAGCCCAGCACGCAGAATTCCCTGTCAAATCTCCCGGAGTTCTCAGGCAGGTCCCGATATCCGTCTTCCCATCTCACGCTGGTCAGGTCCTCCGAGAGAACCAGGAAAGGGTGTGCCGTGTCGGGATCCAGAATCACGTTCACTGAAGGGGGAAAGAGAGAGAAAGGAAAGAAGGTGAGCGGCGTTAAAAAAAGAGAGAAAAGAAAATGTTGAGCTCAGTGGCTGCCGAGTGACCAGGGCCTCCCCAGAGCCATCTATGATACCATACAATACCCTGTGTCCAGGGCAGCTGTTTACTAGATCCATCTGGTACGCAGGCTGAGACCCTACCTGCCCGCAGACTGTCTCGCCAGAGTGGTGCATGCTCTAGTTATCTCCTGCTTGGACTACTGCAATGCGCTCTACGTAGGGCTACCTTTGAAGGTGACCCAGAAACTACAATTAATCCAGAATGCGGCAGCTAGACTAGTGACTGGGAGCGGCCGCCAAGACCATATAACACCGGTCTTGAAAGACCTACACTGGCTCCCAGTATGTTTCCGAGCACAATTCAAAGTGTTGGTGCTGAGCTTTAAAGCCCTAAACGGCCTCGGCCCAGTATACCTGAAGGAGCGTCTCCACCTCCATCGTTCTGCCCGGACACTGAGGTCCAGTGCCGAGGGCCTTCTGGTGGTTCCCTTGCTGCGAGAAGCCAAGTTACAGGGAACCAGGCAGAGGGCCTTCTTGGTAGTGGCACCCGCCCTGTGGAACGCCCTCCCACCAGATGTCAAAGAGAAAAATAACTATCAAACTTTTAGAAGACATCTAAAGGCAGCCCTGTTTAGGGAAGCTTTTAATGTTTAATAGGTTATTGTATTTTAGTGTTTTGTTGGAAGCCACCCAGAGTGGCTGGGGGGACCCAGCCAGATGGGCAGGGTATAAATAATAAATTATTATTATTATTATTATTATTATTATTATTATTATTATTAGATATGATACAATAATCTTTATTGTCAGTGTCCCATACAAAACGACAAAATTGAAAAATGTACATAAAACATTCAAAACCCACCAAGGCTGCTATCCCAACCTGGTTAGCCCCCTAAAAACTCTGATACCCCATTTTTAAATACAATATACCGTATTTTGCGCCCCATAGGACGCACCGGCCCATAAGGCGCACCTAGTTTTTTGGGGGGGAAATAAAGAAAAATATTTTTATTCCCCCCCCCAGGCGCAGTGCTGGGGTGGGGGAAGCCCGAGCTTCCCTGACCCCAGCCCCCAGAAAAGGCTGCTCTGCGCAAGCCGTGGGAGCCCTCCCCCGGCTTGCGCAGAGATACCCGAAGCTCTGAAACCTGAAAGCTTCCTGAAACCTGGAGAGCAAGAGGGGTCGGTGCGCACCAACCCCTCTTGCTCTCCAGGCTTCAGCGAAAGCCTGCATTTGCCCCATAGGACGCACACACATTTCCCTTCATTTTGCGTCCTATAGGGCGAAAAATACGGTACTCCCATAGAGACTCCTTACACTGCGTTTAAAACTAAAATTGCATTTAGGTAGAAACTGTTTCTCATTTCCTCCTCTTCCCCTGCCTGCTGCTGAACTTGTTCCCCCCTCCTTTTGGGGCTCGCCCACACTTCTGCTATTCCCGTACCTAGAAAGCGTGGGTCCAAGCAGTTTTCCACTTGGCCCACTCCCTCCCCATGGAAAACCCTTCGCCCAAAGATTCTGGATATTCTGGATATATTCTTTACTGAGTTTGATTATTAGTACAGTTACTCCATCCGTTATTCAAGACGTAATAAGCTACACACAAAAAACCAAAATAATTCAACATCAAATAATACTGCTACATTAAGTCTTAAAATCTTTAAGAGTGACTTCCCTCCACCTCATTGCGGCTCCTTACTTCTTCTTTACTTTTTAACTGTGTCCTTTTTCTTCTTTTAATTCATTGATCTTACATAATTATCTATTGTTATCTACTTTGAGAAAAGTAAAGGTAAAGGGACCCCTGACCATTAGGTCCAGTCGTGGCCGACTCTGGGGTTGTGGCGCTCATCTCACTTTATTGGCCGAGGGAGCCAGCGTACAGCTTCCAGGTCATGTGGCCAGCAGGACTAAGCCGCTTCTGGTGAACCAGAGCAGCGCACGGAAATGCCGTTTACCTTCCCGCTGAAGCGGCACCTATTTATCTACTTGCACTTTACTCTGTAAATTCTTTTGGTTTGATTGGTTCCTGATTACCTTTGTCATTTTTGCTACTTCTAAGTATTCACATAATTTAATTTGCTATTCTTCCTTCGTAGGTGTTTTCTCTCCCTTCCAATTTTTAGCAATCAGCATTCTCGCTGATTCTTATACCCTTCGTCTGAAGATAACAGGGTGGCTCACAATATAAAAGCACAAAAATGCGTGCCCATAACAACCAACAAAAAACAGAGGACATCACGGGGTCAGCTCACACCCTCGCTCAGCTTTCACACTGGGAATTTAAAGCAGAACACCCACACTGAGGGTTTGTCCACACTTGCCTCCCCACCCCACTTTTTCCAGGCACCCTTTCTTCATCCCCAGAGATTTCCCCACAAATACCTGCTCTTTAAAGCGCAATCGGAGCAAATGGCAATCTACAGGAAAACTTGAATTGATGTTTGCTCTGATTGAGAGCTAAAGAGCAGGTTTTCACAAGGAAAGCGCTAGGGCAAAACAAACAAATACTTGGACGCAGAGCTTTTAAGTGCAGAACCTGTGCCTAGGAAGCATGGGGCAAAAGGTAAATATGGATAAGCCCTTAGTTAACTCACTTTTTTATGGGGAAATCTATGGTCTGTCTCCCCTCCCTATAAATCAACTCTATCACTTTAACCCTTCCCTTTTCAATAGCATCACAGCTGAGCCAGTTTCTCCCCACCACATCAATTGTGTCTGAGGATGATGAATCATAGCTGAGAGTGCAGTAAAGGGGGAGGGAGAATTTGATACTTTCCCTCACATTATGGTCCCATTGAAAACTTCCCTCTTCACAACATCCGGAGATGGAAAGAGAAGATTCTGCTCACAGGGTTGCAGAAAGTTGTTTGGAATCTATTAAGTCTGGAAGAACTGTGATTATATTGGCAATTTAAAGCAGAAGAGCAATGACTGGGTGCTGGCAATTTTTAAAAATGTTTTAATTGGTCTTGACATCAAAAATGTTTTTCCCCCCCATGTTATTATTTTTTTAAAAAAAAGTTTTTATTTTATTTTTAATTTGGTGGTGGTGGTTAGTGTTTAATTTTACTTTGATGTTTGCCTTCCTGGGTTCCATTGGAAGGAACGTCAATATAGGCATTTAATAATAATAATAATAATAATAATAATAATAATAATAATAATAATCAATCCACATCTGCAATCTCTGTGAGCTGCTACTCTGGTCTGCCTCTATCAGTCAGGTTCTTTGACATTTCTGAAAGAAAGGTGTGTGGAACCACCTGCCAGATGCAACCTCATTATAGATATTTAAGCCTTCATCACCCATCAAGAGTTCCCCCATCTCCTGCATTTTCCTGCTAATATTTACCTTTGCTCATTGTTTCCTTTGCCGGCTCTGTTTTTGGGAAATAAAATGTGGACAAACATAAAGCGAGATAATAATACATATAGCAAGTATGTCGTTTCATGAAAAGAAAAAAAGAACGATGAAAGAAACACAGAAAACTGAGATGAGCATTTTAATTAGAAACCTAGGAAGCCATATAACAAGGCTGAGTGTTAGAATCACAGAATTGCAGAATTGGAAGGGACCCCAAAGGGCATGTAGTCTAACCCCCTGCAGTCTGATTTAGTATTGTCTACACCAGAGGTTTTCGACCTTTTGGAGTCCATGGCTGCCTTGAGCAACTACAGTGGTACCTTGGGTTACAGATGCTTCAAGTTACAGACGCTTCAGGTTACAGACTCAGCTAACCCAGAAATAGTACCTCAGGTTAAGAACTTTACCTCAGGATGAGAACAGAAATTGTGTGCTGGCAGCGCAGCGGCAGCAGGAGGCCCCATTAGCTAAAGTGGTACCTCGGGTTAAGAACTGTTTCAGGTTAAGAGCAGACCTCCAGAATGAATTAAGTTCTTAACCCGAGGTACCCCTGTACATTCTTTCTGCGGCTTCCCTGTGCAGCTCAGTTTTTCGCCTCTTGCCTGCAGAGCTGGCAGCCTCTTACCCTTTTCTGAACCCCCCCCCCTTGTGGAGGGTTCCCTCAGCCTCCTCTCTTCTTTCCTTAGGAGTCCTCCAGGAAACCTCGTCAAAACCCAAAACTGCATCATTTCCTCCCCACCTTTCACCTGGCGCAATGCAAACGCCTTCCTCTCCCCATCTCTCATTTTTAAATGAGGGACTCCTCCCATCGTCTCCCCTCACCAGAGTTTTGCTTCCCATAAAAATACCACAAAATTACCTTTGCTCAGTGCTTCTTTCAAAGACTCTGTTATGGGAAGGAAAGGAGGACAAATTTACTTCAGGTGAGGCACACAGCAACATGAGTCAATCACAAAATAACTTCGTACAACCAGCATTTAAACAACACTAGTGAACAAATCTATGCTGCTTCTTTTTTAGATTTGAAAACTGCTTTAGGAGTAAAGGGAAGCAACTTGATGGAGAGGAAGAATCAAAGGAGAAGAAGAAGAAGAGTTTGGATTTGATATCCCGCGTTATCACTACCTGAAGGAGTCTCAAAGCAGCTCACATTCTCCTTTCCCTTCCTCCCCCACAACAAACACTCTGTGAGGTGAGTGGGGCTGAGAGACTTCAGAGAAGTGTGACTGGCCCAAGGTCACCCAGCAGCTGCATGTGGAGGAGCGGGGAAGCAAACCCGGTTCACCAGATTACGAGACTACAGCTCTTAACCACTACACCACACTGGCTCCATGGCTATGTTCTCCCTCTACTGTCAGAGGCAGCATGGCTGTGAATACCAGTCATCAGTGAATTGCAGATCAGGAGAGAGCTGTTGCACTCTGCTCCTGCTTAAGAAGTGGGTGACTGCATTAATGGATACTTAAGTTGCCAGGCAATAGATTCCACCCCCTCCATTTCCATCTCCACCAGGAGAAATGCTCTAGTCCAGAGGTAGCTGGGGTTCTCCAGATGTTGCTGTGTCAGGAGCTCAGCCTACACTCAAGTAGAACCATGCCCAACTGGCATGTTCTCTCCCTCCTGGTCTTTCGTTCGGGAGCTTCAAAAGCTTTCTTCAGCCCGAACATCACAGCGACCAATGCTAACTGACACCGTCACACTTAGGGATCTGCTGAGTTTGCACATCATGCGTAACAGGTTAGCATTTTGGCTAATCTACTTTATTTACATATAAATACACACGGAGCACTGCAACATGGCTCCCTCTCTCTCTAGCATCAGACAGCAAAGAGAAAAGGAACAAAGGACAATAGTCCCACTTCATGGAATACAGTAACACAAACATTCTGTTCCTGTCACTTTCCACTCTGTGGAGACAAAACATATACCGTCATGTGATAGACAAAAATCCCATGACTGCAACTATAGAGCAGGAATTCTAACATGCTGGACTCCATCTTGGCTAGGGCTGACATGAGCAGGAGTCTCTCCACAGGACCTGGAGGGAATTGCATTAGCTACCCCTGCTGTAGTCCAACCCATAATCATCCACAAAGAGTTGAGACTGGTTGGGGGAGTCTCTTCCCAAGGAGCGATGGGGAACCTCTGGTCCTTCTGGGGCTATTTGGACTACGATCATTGACTACGTTAGTTGAGACTGGTGACATCTAGAAAGCACCAAGCTGGCTACAACCGTGCAATTTAATATGCACAGATGCAAGTTTAGAAACCATATATTAGATGGAGTCAATAATAAGCCGCGTAGGAGCTAACTCCTACGCGGCTTATTATATATTTGAGGGGGCCGGGCCCCCACAAAGTTGATGGGCATTCCCATTCAAATGGTGTGTGTGCACTGTGTCATGTGATCAGTGGGGCGGGGCTTACCTGGGCCCCACAATATTTTATTCAAATTGGCATCCCTGATAAGCCAGTATAATGTGGTCTAGTCTGTGGGTCTCCAAACTCTGGGAGACACTCATTCCTCTTACAGAGCTACAGTTCTCAGAAGGATTTGATTGTTAAACCACTCCCAGAATTGTAGTTTTGTGAAGTGAGAAGATGTCTCTGCACTCTTGACAAGGTACCATTCCCAGGATTCCTGGGGGTGGGGTGGGAAGCCATGACTGTTAAAGTGATCTAATAACAGTGCTTCAAATGTATGGTGCAGAGGTGGCCTTTGAGGAAGAGGATCCTTTTACGGAAGACACCCTGAACCCCATTTTAGGAAACGGGAAGAGGTGTGACACAGCCTCACTTGTCAGACACCTGGGACATTGCAGAGAAAGCCAGCCCCTCACTTTGCACACACCCAATCTGGAAAACCCACCCGCCTCCTGGAGCTGTCCCCCAATACCTTCAATTTCTTCCATGACCTTTTTGAGAACCAGTCTTTTATGAGAGTAACTTCTGAGTCCTTCCTCAGGCCCTGGAGAAAGCTCCACCACCTGCCTCAGTTGCCCCTCCTGACATCTGGAAAGAAGTTGAGAGCCAGTTAAAAGAATGGTTTGAAAGCACTGTCTCCTCCTGCAGGCCTGAATCACAAGGCTGGGGAATCCATGACCCTACAGATATTTGTTAGACTACAACTCCCATCAGCCCCAGCCAGCATGGGCAATGGTCAGGCATGATGGGAGCTGTAGTTCAGCAGCACCAGAAGAACCGCAGGTTCCCTTATCCCGTTGTAGCATGAAGCAGCAGACCGGATATTTTATTTACTCGTGACAAGGTTCCTTCAGCAATACCTCGGTTTTCGAATGTCTCCATTGTCAAACATTTCGGTTTATGAACATAGGCGCCGACTCCATGGGGCCTGAGGGGGCCCGAGCCCCCTCAAAAATTCGTTTGGGGGGGCTCTGCCCCCCCCAATAATCTCGGGCGCCCCTCCAGCAGAGCGCCGCTGCCGGGCGACTCCGGCCCTCTGGTTCAGGTTGCCATGTGGCTGTGTGCGCGTGTTTCGTCTGCGTTTAGGGGTCTCCCCTTCGGGTTCGTCCGCCGGCGCGCGAGGGCCGCCGTGTCTGGCTCAAACTCTCCACCAGCAAATCGCCCTCTCTGGTAAACAGGATCCCATTGGCTGCGGCGCGTCTTTCGGGGTGGGTGCAAGGCGTTTGCCGCGGGCGGATTGGCGGCGACCCTTTCCCTTTAAATCAAGTAATCGCAGCCCGGCAGCGGTTTGCATCTCGGCCCAGCCTTTTCGCGCGTTGCAAACCGGATAAGCCAAGTCGTGGGCAGTGGGGGACAATTTACAAGGCATTTGTGTGGTTTCTCTTTAAATCGCCCTATCTGCGCTTGAAACCAACCGAAGAGGTGTTTCTGTTTCTTTTTCTTCTTTTTTTTTTTTGCAAGAAGAGAACAGCTGGGTATCTGGTTCCATAAGGTGATGGTGAATATTGGTTCCCCCTTTTACAGATGAGGGGAAACATGAGTTTTCTTAAAGTCGACAGAAAGTTAGGTGCATCCTGTTCCTATTTAAATCAGCAGATGATTTTTTTGGTGGGTTGCGTAGGTGTTTTGACCCCCGCCTCATCCCCACCTGCTCCCTCGCCAGCCAGCCAGCCAGCCGCGCGCCCTAGCCGGAGAGCCCCGGCCGTCCCCGTCGCGCAATCGGTTGGATCTCCCTTCAGCAGGCCGTGCTCACAACTCGACCCAGGGACCCCCCAGCAGCGGATCTCCGGCCCAGCTGAAGAATCCGGCAACAAGCCCCCTCCTCCCCAATCGCTCCGGCTCCGCCGAAATACGCTCCAAAACCCCCCAGATAGGCCGCCGGCCGCCAAGTCTCGTGGCGCCCTGAGCGAGGGTCTCTCCCCAACACCGCCACCTCGAACTGCGTTCTCCCGGCTACCCGAGCGAACCAGCGGCAGCTTCCCGGGCGCTCTTCCCGACTCTGCCTCCGAAGGAGAAGAAGAAACAGCCCCCGCCGAGGTGCATCCCAAAAGTTGGCCCCCCCAATATTTTTTATAAGTCGGCACCCCTGTTTATGAACGCCGTAAACCTGGAAGCAAATGCTTCGGTTTCCGAACACGCCTCGGAAGTTGAATATGCCACGCAGCTTCTGCTGTGTGCAAGATCCTGAAGCCTAATTTTTTCGGTTTTTGAACATTTCAGAACTCAAACGGTCTTCCAGAATGTACTGCCATAATTGGTGAGTAAGTGTTAGAGAGTGAGACAAAGTGAAAGCGAAAGCGAAAGCGAGAGAGAGAGAGAGAGAGAGAGAGAGAGAGGAGTCCACTGCTCAAAACCTTCACTTCCTTTTGACCTCACTGTTTACGATACTGCCCCTCCCTCTCCAACTATGTACTGTAGCTGTGTTCCTGAAACTCATGGTAATAACATCAGGTATCTGATCAAGGGAACAGTCATCCACGAAAGCTTACATGCCGTAATAAATCCATTTGTCTTTAAAGGTGCCGCAATATCATTTGTTGCTTTTGCTGCAAGAGACCATCAAAACCAGAAAGAAAAGCAAGCGGACACAGAAAGAGTCACATACCTGCTCAGGGTATTTTTTATGTCCTGAAAGAAAGAGAAAAATGGGTCTCAGGTTGGGACAGGTGCATCTGTTAATTCCACTTTCCTGCAGCTTCTGGTTTTTGCAGCCCTAAATGCAGTTCTCGACGTTTCCAAAACTATTTGCGACGGAAGTCCTTCACGGAAATTCATCAGTCTCCTAATAATGTGCATTTTTCTATGCATTCCCCCCTCAAATACACACATTTTTGTACATCAATTTTCCTTAGTATAATGCATACACAGTGTTTTGCTGGAGACGTGCGTGGCAAAATTCAGAGAAGTGTGAATTTTGAAGGGTGGCTATGTCAGTTAGTTGCCTTGTTTCAGATTTATTTAATAATTATTATACAGTGTTAGAAACTGAGATATGAAAGCTAGGAGCTAAATGACACCTTAAACCTAGGTTATGGGCACAACAACGGAAAGTCTAGGCACGTTTTTTCATAACAAGAGAGTGGGATCCATCTCTGTCTCAAGTCTCACCTGCAAGAATTTGCTGTCTGGCTGCTGCCTCTTCCTCTCCATGTCGCTGATAAGCATGTTGAGGCGGAAAGACTCATCGGAGAGGCTGGCAACATTTTCTTTCCATGTCTTCTCAACCTCTCTCTCCAGATCTCCTAGCTGGGCCAGCCAACGGCGCTCGTTTTCCTTAAGGAACTTCTGCATTTGCTTGAAAACACACCTGATATTGAGTTTCTCCACTCCCACCTGTGACTAGAGCGGCAAGGGGAAAAAGAGACATAAGGAAAGGTGGCAAACAGGGGAATAGGAGACTGGGTTGTATCCGACGCTGCTGTCCCACTTGCACTACACACTTCTGTTCACACAACAGAATTCCCCTTTCCTTTTCTACAACCCCCAGGCAACCTCAAATCTGCTCCAGAGCAGATATTTAGGGGGATGAGGGGGAGGACATACAACCCCTCCAAATTAAGCAACAGTGTGTGCCTGTAGCAACGAATTACAGTGGTACCTTGGGTTAAGTACTTAATTCGTTCTGGAGGTCCGTTCTTAACATTTAGCTAATGGGGCCTCCCACTGCTGCCGCGCCACCGGAGCACAATTTCTGTTCTCATCCTGAAGCAAAGTTCTTAACGTGAAGCAATATTTCTGGGTTAGCAGAGTCTGTAACCTGAAGCGTCTGTAACCTGGAGCGTATGTAACCCGAGGTACCACTGTAATTTGGCACATAGTAATAATAATAATAATAATTATTATTATTATTATTATTTATTATTTATACCCTGCCCATCTGGCTGGGTTTCCCCAGCCACTCTGGATGGCTTCCATAGAAACCAAAAATATACTAAAATCACACATTAAAAACTTCCCTGAAAAGGGCTACCTTAAGATGTCTTCTGAATGTCAAGTAATTGTTGATCGTTTTGACATCATGATGCTTCCCTTCCTCTGGCAAGTACTGACAGTCTCCACAAGACCCGTACCCATGTATTCTCTTAAAAGGTTTTCTGGGTACCTTATACCTCAACAGCCTGCTACGTCCAGCGGCGGAGGAAGGCTCTTGGGCACCTGGGGCGGCATGCCAAGGGGCGGGGCAAACTGCCCATAGGGGTGGTGCAAACTGCCCACAGGGGCAAGGCGAACCGCCCATAGGGACGTGGTGCGGAAGGGGGACAGGATGGGACTGCACGGCACAGCCACTGTCCGCCCACTGCCTCCCCCCAGCTGTAGGTCAGCTGAGGCCCCACGGTGCACCCTGTCTCTACTGGCACCGCATGTCCTGTCCCATCCCTATGGGCATCCCTATTGGCGTGGTGGTGATCCACCCGGGGGGGGGTCGTCACCCCCCCTCAGGGATGACACCTGGGGCAGACCGCCTGCACCGCACCGTCCGTTCTCCGCCGCTGGCTATGTCGGTTCAAAATGTGCATTGAGGATAGTTTAAATTGCTTGTTTTCAATTGCATTTTGAATAATTCAGTCATTTGGAAATGGCTGGGGGAGCATCTGCTTTGCATGTGTCTACAATGACAAGAATGAGCTTGTGTGAAATTTGTAGTACAGACGTCCCTTGGAAGTTGAACGGAATCTGTTCCAGAAGTCCGTTCGACTTCCAAAATCTTCATCCCCAGTACTGGAGCTGGAGGCACAAACACCTACTAAATATTTCTGCTTCTTCTCATCTTCAGCCTGTTCCCGGTGCAAAATGTTTTCTCTCTTTTTCTCCAGGGCTTGGATCTGGGCCTCGATTTTCCCCTGCACAAACAGAAAAAAACAGACTTTTGCTTAGTCAGCCAGTCCAGTTTCCCCCAACTGAGTTCCTTATAAAGCCAAGTCTGATCCGATGGACTGTAGATGAGGCCCAGCTCTTAATTTCAAAGCTTCCTGGTGTTGGCTGCCGGGGCGACGACAACGACAACACCACCACCGACACAATCCTCTTGTGATTCGCTACATGACCCCACCTCTATTTTGCATACTTAGATTGTAGGTCTTTCGTTTATTTAAACACTTAAACACTTTATATGCTGCTTAACTACAATTGTGCTATTATTATTAAACATTTGGGAATCAAGAGACCTTTCCAACCTATTGCAAATCACCTACAGTTCCACCAGCAGATCCCAAACTACCTTCTGCCTGTAAAGGGACCCCTGACCATTAGGTCCAGTTGTGGCCGACTCTGGGGTTGTGGCCCTCACGCTTTATTGGCCGAGGGAGCCGGCATACAGCTTCTGAGTCCTGTGGCCAGCATGACTAAGCCGCTTCTGGCGAACCAGAGCAGCGCACTGAAACACCGTTTACCTTCCGGCCGGAGCGGTACCTATTTATCTACTTGCACTTTGATGTGCTTTCGAACTGCTAGGTTGGCAGGAGCAGGGACTGAGCAACGGGAGCTCACCCCGTAGCGGGGATTCGAACTGCCGACCTTCTGATCAGCAAGTCCTAGGCTCTGTGGTTTAACCCACAGCACCACCCGCGTCCCACCTTCTGCCTAGTGCTGGCTTAAATAAAAGAACCGCAGTGCTCTCCACACCATGTACCATTTCAGACTCATCTATTGTGTCTCCTCCTGCTCTATCCATCTGGACCCCCAAACAGTGGCAATTCCCTACCTTATACTCCTGGGCAGCCTCCTGCACAGGGACGACGTGATGATCTCGGTGCTCCTTGGACAGGTTGCAGATCACGCATATGAGGACCTGGTCATCCTTGCAGAAGAGTTTGCAGGGTTCCTGGTCCCCCTTACACAGCTTAGTGTTTTTCCCCTCCTCAATTTTCCTGATTATTTCGACCATGTTTGCCAGTTTCCTGTTGGGCTTGAATTGCCGTGGCTTCAAGGCTGCTCTGCACTGAGGGCAAAGGGGGTTCTTCTCCAGCCCGTCTCTCAAGCAGGCTCGGCAGAAATTGTGCCCGCAGTTTGTAGTCACTGGATCTTCGAAGTAGTCCAGGCAGATGGAGCAGGTCACTTCTTCGCGAAGCTGCTTCTCAGGGGTTCCTGCTGCCATGGCTGCCTCTCCCGGGGCGAAATGACAGCCTTGGTTTCGTTTTCTGATTCCTGTTCCTGCCAAGGTGTTTACTCTCCTGCTTCTACTTCAAGGGAGGGCAAGCTCTGGGGCATACAAGAGCCCCACTGAGGATAACAATGGATTAAGCCTTGCCTTTATTGCGCTCGCCACATCTATTTTTAATAATGAATTGGGGAGAGGCAATTGCTCCTTTTGGTTTCTGTTATGTTCCTTCTCCTCCCTCCTTTTAACGGACAAACAACTCTGCCCTTCCCCACCCCCGCTGAGGAGTTGAGACAGTGAACTAAGGTTTCTCACAATCCCTTTCTTACTTCCTTAACAAAAGCGTCAGACCCCTGTCTCAAGAAAGAGAGAAGTGGCGCTCCCTTTCTCTGTATAATTTTATTTTTAAAAAACCCTTTAAATTTAGTTTTATATTGGTACCTCAGGTTACAGACGTTTCAGGTTACAGATGTTTCAGGTTACATACTCTAATAACCCAGAAATAGTACCTTTGGTTAAGAACTTTACCTCAGGATGAGAACAGAAATCGCACAGCGGCGGGGGAGGCCCCATTAGCTAAAGTGGTATCTCAGGTTAAGAACAGTTTCAGGTTAAGAACGAATTAAGTTCTTAACCCGAGGTATCACTGTATTAGCTAAACAGAAGGACAAGAACAACAAAACAGCAGCGGTGAGAGAATCAAGGGCCACTGTGCTCTAAATGCGGGTGTTGCTTGGTTCTTAAGGGTGAGCCAATTTGTCCTTTTTGAGTTCACGTTGTCATTTTTCCAGCCTTAAACTCAGTTCTCTACATTTCCACATTAGCTGCAGAGCCGCCTTTCCCATAGGGCTTAGTGGCGCGTTGTGCCACGGCATAGACATCTCAGGGGCGCCCCAGCGAGTGGAGAACTGCGCAGCTTTGCCGGTGGCCTCCCCTTTCCCTGCACGCCCCCGGTGTCCAGCTTGCTTCCCAAGCCTCCTGTGCACGGCAGGAGCACGGGAGGGGAGCCCCGAAGAGGCAGGGGGAATGGTTTCGAAGGGGATGCTGGAGTCTCTCTCAGCAGCTCCCTGTCAGAGCTCCCCACCAGCAAGCGAGGACCCCGTCCTTTTCAGTGCGGCGGCTTCCCAGTGAGCCGTGCCCAAGTGCATTTTTATTTCTCCCTTATGTAGCGTTGTGAAATGCAGTGGGCTGCACATGCACACCCCGTACGCTGCATGTGTGGTTGTGGGCGAGGACAATCTGCTGCTGTCCCACCACACCCACTCACTTTGAGGGGATCAGGGAGCAACCGGGATTGGCGTGTGTGTTTGTGTTAAAAAAACCCTCCTGCTGTCCTTCTTTCTTGGCCACGAAACCTGCATGGGCGGGAGGAGTGATGCTATTTCTGTTCAGTTTCTGTTAATTGATTCTCATGGGAAACTTACAGATTCTGGCTTCGCACAATTAACTCAAGGCAGTGTCAATTTACTCTTGGCAGAAAGCCCAGGTCTGCTTGACCTAGAAACTACTTACTCTGATTGGTTAACGACCAGCACTCAACTCTGTTATCTAGGGATTGCTAGCACAGTTTGGTGTGAGGTGTGTTAGGAGTTGGAGTAGAAGTGCTGTGTATGGTTTTGAGAGAGAGAGAAAGAAAGGATTTATTTTGCTTTGATTTGTATGCAGAAACTCTGCTGGTTTTATTTTTCCCTTTTTTAATAAATCCTGTAAATAGTTATTCTGAGTCTAGCTGACTAGTCATTACCGCCTCAACTAGCTTCCTCGCTGTGCAGGAAAACTCTGCTACATTTGGGCTAAAGCCAATAGGGCTATGCCTGACACTTCAAAGTTCCATGAATTTCTACCGTGGCTCAGCTTCCTGACCACCACCCTCCTCTCCTCTCCGTTGGTGGGTTAAATGCCCTCTCTTTTCAAATCATAGAATCATAGAGTTGGAATAGACCACAAGGGCCATCGAGTCCAACCCCCTGCCAAGCAGGAAACACCATCAGAGCACTCCTGACATATGGTTGTCAAGCCTCTGCTTAAAGACCTCCAAAGAAGGAGACTCCACCACACTCCTTGGCAGCAAATTCCACAGTCAAACAGCTCTTACTGTCAGGAAGTTCTTCCTAATGTTTAGGTGGAATCTTCTTTCTTGTAGTTTGGATCCATTGCTCCGTGTCCGCTTCTCTGGAGCAGCAGAAAACAACCTTTCTCCCTCCTGTATGTGACATCCTTTTATATATTTGAACATGGCTATCATATCACCCCTTAACCTCCTCTTCTCCAGGCTAAACATGCCCAGCTCCCATGATGACAGGAAGGATTTGAAACCTGCGGGACCAGAGATTTACAGAAGATTGGAAGAAGTATATGAATTATTTGAAGAGCAACTGTAATCAACAAATTACGCTAGTGGGACTACAAGAAGTTTTGTAAGGAGAAATATACAAAGCGTTACAAAGTAGAAAAAGATAGAGATATTGGTTATGAGTTTGAAATGTAATAGGGAAGCTAAGAAATGCATACTGAGAGATTAGATTGGGAAATTTTCAGACAGGACTGATGGAAGTAAAAAAAATTGAATAAGATGTAAAAGTATGTTTAATTACTGTTGAAAATGGTATGTTAAAAAACTAATATATATATATATAAATAAATAAAATAAATGCCCTCTCCTTTCGTCTGTCCCACTTTCTCTCTCTCTTTTCATCCAGTAAAGGAAGGGTTGTAGGTTCCCCTCACCCCCAGATCTTGCCTCTCCTTCCCTGTAGTGAAATCTGTGGAATTCCCAATTTCAGGTCAACAACTCTGGGGAGCCTTTCCTACCAAAGTTCAACAACTTTGGGGTCCCCCCCTTAAAAAGCTCAACAACTCTGGGAAATGGCGGGGGGCGTGGGATCTTCGCACCACGGCGCCGGATATGCTTAAGACGGCCCTGATTAGTTGCTTAAATAATAATAACAAAAGTTCTCATGGGTGGGGGGCAGAACTTGATTGGATATAGATAAGAAAACCAGAACATCACACACACAAACAAACACACCCCTTAAGGCACAGCGTGCACACCTTGCCTGACTTCTGCTGATGTTGGAGCTCACAAGAGCTTTGATGTGCATCTTCAGCCAGCCTTGTTTTTGTGAGCGAGCGAAAGGGGCATGGTCAATGAGGGGGCGTGGCTTGGAGGTGCAGAGCCTGGGAAGGGCCCCGCCCACCTCGCCTCCTCCTCCTCCTCCTCCTCCGCCTCTGCATTGTTTTGGTTCTTGGCCGCCACGTGGTTTCGGTGGAGGCTGCAAGTTGTGATCTGCAGGCAAGGGAGGCTGATCTGCCTCTAAGGCTGTGGGGCGGTGTGTGTGTGGGGGTAACGGGGGGGTGTAGCTGGGGCAAATAGGAGGGGCAATAGTGTTAGGGGGGAGTTCTTGGCCTCTCCTTCCTTGGAGGTTTTTAAGCAGACATTGTTGGACGGCCATCGGTCATGGATGCTTTAGTTGAGATAACTGCATGGCAGGAGGTTAGGCTAGAGATTATCTTTGGGCTCCTTTCCGTTGCAGGGAACCAGTGGGGGAGGGGCGCTCTTCGGAGCCAACTACAGTGGTACCTCGGGTTAAGAACTTAATTCGTTTTGGAGGTCCATTCTTAACCTGAAACTGTTCTTAACCTGAGGTACTTTAGCTAATGGGGCCTCCTGCTGCCGCCACACAATTTCTGTTCTCATCCTGAGGTAAAGTTCTTAACCTGAGGTACTATTTCTGGGTTAGCGGAGTCTGTAACCTGAAGCATCTGTAACCCGAGGTACCACTGTATAAGCTAAACAAGCTATGGCTTAGGGCCCCACTCTCTTGGGGGCCCCCCAAAAAAATTAAAGGGGAAAAAACTGCATGTACTGGTTATGGATGTAACTGGTTATGGAGGGCAAATGAACATTGTCCATGGAGGGCACTGAGGACTGGCCGCAGAGAGCAAATGAACATGATTGTCATCACAGTGGTACCTCGGGTTAAGAACTTAATTCGTTCCGGACGTCCGTTCTTAACCTGAAACTCTTCCTAACCTGAGGTACCACTTTAGCTAACGGGGCCTCCCACTGCTGCCGCTGTGCAATTTCTGTTGTCATCCTGAAGCAAAGTTCTTAACCAGAGGTACGGTACTTTTTCTGGGTTAGCAAAGACTGTAACCTGAAGCGTCTGTAACCCAAGGTACCACTGTAGTCCCAAATCTCATGGGTTCAGATCGGGGGTCACAAGCGAAAGGCTTCAGAAGCAAAACAGCAGCCAGGAGGCCAGATCTTTATTGTTGCAACAAGACTTCCAGCTCCAAAGATGAAGCAGCCAGAACCCAGGAAAAATGGTTACTTCAGGTTTTGAAAGTTTTCAGAGTTTCCCATAATCCTGTATAGTGTTTCTCAGCCTTGGACCTCCAGCATGGGCTTAGCCAAGGGGGGAGGAGGGGGCCAGCTGCTGCCCCTCCCCAGATCAAGTAATACAACAGAAATACTGAACTAACTGACCAATCACGTCAGTTCTGCCCCCCCATCAAGTTCTGCCCCCCCATCAAGTTCTGCCCCCCAACAAAAACCCTGGCTATGCCCATGGCCTCCAGCTGTTTTTGGACTACAACTCCCACCATCCCTGACCACTGGTCCCGCTAGCTAGGGATGATGGGAGTTGTAGTCCAAAAATAGCTGGAGGCCCAAGTTTGAAAACTCTGGCGTAATACATTTCTAGATGTATCCTCAAAACATCATAGATATGTCACAGAAAAGGTATGGTGTCAGGCAGAAATCTGAGATCCAGGCACACCGCTGTCAAACAAGTATAGGTGTTTTGGTTTTTTTGCTTACTCCATTACAGTACAATAGAAAGTACAATTCCTTACTTCCTGAGTCATGTCAGATACACCCTGTTGTCTTGTTAGGGTTTAATTCCACTATGGGGTGAGTAAGCATTGTGAATGAGATGGTTACCCGTCTGGCAGGATATCACCGGTTATGACTCCTTGGAAAGCTTCTGCAGATCTGATTGTGGTGTAGTGATTAAGAGCGGTAGATTCATAATCTGGGGAACCGGGTTCGCGTCTCCGCTCCTCCACATGCAGCTGCTGGGTGACCTTGGGCCAGTCACACTTCTCTGAAGTCTCTCAGCCCCACTCACCTTACAGAGTATTTGTTGTGGGGGAGGAAGGGAAAGGAGAATGTTAGCCGCTTTGAGACTCCTTCGGATAGTGATAAAGCGGGATATCAAATCCAAAACTCTACATCTCGGGGATTATGGCAAACTGGAGTGGGCTTGCTAACCCCTCTCCTGAAACCTCACTTCCCTGGGTCCTAAATGCCATTGGAACAGAGAAGACTGATACGCCGAGTGATATCTTATGCGCTTCTAAAGTTTTCTCATAGAATAACATTGAGCCAATATGTAGATTCAGTGAATCGCTATGTTTGCCATATTCAATTATTTCCTGTGTTGTCCCGGAGTCGCAGGCTCCTTCTGCAAGCTGAGCTGGCATCCCCAGGAAGATGCAATGCCTTTGCAGATATGTTGGTGTCATTTTCCTCTTGACCCTGAGGGTCGCTGTTGCGTGGCTGTCAGGGATCTGAGCAGAGAGGTACTTTATGAATGGAGTTTTGAACCTAAATGAATGAGGCTTGAGGAAGCCCATATTAATGGGTAAAAGGGGGCAGGGGCAGCGGGAATCCCTCTTTGCTCCGGTGGGGTGGGGTGCTTCAGTGATGTTGGTGGCTTGCCTGCCCCGGGCACTGGCAACCTACGCTATGCCACCATCTCCCAACCTTACACAGAGATGCTGGGCCAGCTCTGGATTTAGAGCGGAATAGGGTGTTGAGCTGCTGAGAGGGTGCAAAATAATAAAAAATACAAGAACTATTATTAAATATGAAGTCAAATGGGCCTTAGAAAGCACTGCAAATAACAAGGCCAGTGGAAGTGATGGTATTCCAGCTGAACTATTTAAAATTTTAAAAGATGATGCTGTTAAGGTGCTACACTCAATATGCCAGCAAATTTGGAAAACTCAGCAGTGGCCAGAAGATTGGAGAAGATCAGTCTACATCCCAATCCCAAAGAAGGGCAGTGCCAAAGAATGCTCCAACTACCGCACAATTGCACTCATCTCACACGCTAGCAAGGTTATGCTTAAAATTCTACAAGGAAGGCTCAAGCAGTATGTGGATCGAGAACTCCCAGAAGTGCAAGCTGGATTTAGAAGAGGCAGAGGAACCAGAGACCTTTAACTATACAGACCTTTGTTGGCAAGGTGATGTCTCTGCTTTTTAAGATGTTGTCTAGGTTTGTCATTGCTTGTCATTGGATTCCTGTTGACATACAAATACCACTCTACTCTGGGAGGCAAACAGATGCCAGTCAAAGACAAATGCGAACTTGGATTAAAGTTAGATTGTTCCTGATTTGAATTCCAGGTTTTCTCCTTGGCTAAGGTGTGAATGCATGCACAATTTCATTATGTTCAATGAGTTTTATCTAGAACCCATATTTCATTGAACTTAATTTAGTGTTTTTACCCTGCTGTTCTCAGATCAACAAAAATGAAACAGTCCCAGTTCTTGAGCTTAGAATCTTGAAAAGACAACACAAAAGGAAAATGGATTGGGAGGAGGAAGTAAGCAAACTCAGAACAGTTTTTAGTTACAATTTCTTTGAATGACCAGCTGGGATGGAAGCTGTTCAAGGAGAGCAGGAGCCAAAAGTTGTTGCTTTCTCTTCTCTTACCTCCTGACTGGTTATCATTTCAGGTGACTTCAGTAAATAAGCGTTTAATAGAATGTATAGAAATGCAATAATTCTGCCAGTGAAGTTGTGAAGCAAAAGCACTAAGCTCTTTCAAAGTGTGGCACAACCCTCTGGCTGTGTACACACACCATATGCTTAAAGGACCCTCCCCAAAAATGCTGGGAACTCTAGTTTTAAGGATGCTAAGCTTTGTATCTCTCCGAGTGTAAACTACAGCTCCCATGATCTTGCTGTGTGTGTGAAAAGTACGAATGCCTCCCTGGCCTTATGTATTTGAGCTGCTTGGTGACAGCAATCTGGTCCCTTGGTGCCTTAAAAGAATTGAAATTGAAATACTTTATTGTCACTTGTACAACTTGTATACAGTTGAGATTACACGAGCACCCAATGAGATTACTGAATGCAGTACAGTCGTACCTTGGAAGTCGAATGGAATCCGTTCCGGAAGTCCATTCAACTTCCAAAACGTTCAGAAAGCAAAGCGCGGCTTCTGATTGGCTGCAGGAAACTCCTGCAGCCAATCAGAAGCCCTGTTGGACGTTTGGCTTCCAAAAGAATGTTCAAAAACCAGAACACTCACTTCTGGGTTGGCGGTGTTTTGGAGCCGAAACGGAAACGTTTGAGAATTAAGCTGTTTGAAAACCAAGGTATGGCTGTACTTGAAAGAAATGAGTTCAGATCTTTCTGTCACCATAATATGGTAACTGTCTCCTTACAGCTGTCTTAGATTTTTATTTTTTTATTTTGTTTCGACTATGGCAGACCAACCTACCTGTAATTAGTTGAACATTATGGCCAACCAAAATGTCACAAATTGGTGAGCAAGCTTTTAGTTATTTAGCTATTTATATAAATATTTATATAAGAGAGAAAGTGTGGTGTAGTGGTTAAGAGCGGTGGACTCGTAATCTGGTGAACTGGGTTTGATTCCCCGCTCCTCCACATGCAGCTGCTGGGTGACCTTGGGCCAGTCACACTTCTCTGAAGTCTCTCAGCCCCACTCACCTCACAGAGTGTTTGTTGTGGGGGAGGAAGGGAAAGGAGATTGTTAGCCGCTTTGAGACTCCTTCGGGTAGTGATAAAGCGGGGTATCAAATCCAAACTCTTCTTCTTCTTCTATACTGCTGTATCATAAAAAAATGTCAGTGGTTTACAGCAACCTATAAAACCAGACAATAAAATCATAAAAGGTTTTGAGTCCACCAGAACGTAGGTGTTAAGCAAAGCAAGGAATAGGAGTGATGGAGGAAAGCTGTCTTGCTCTCGACATCTGCATTGGTCAAAAATCCATTTCCCTTTTATGCCTCACATGCGGCTGGTCACAAAGCACTCACAGTTCAGAATTTGCCACTCGGCCATTGGGTTTTGCTGGGGAATTTGAGATTTCAGCAGCTCAGTCTGACTCCCCAATACACCCCAAAAAGGGACAGATCCTCTCCCCGGAGAACGAGGCTGAAGGGAAAGTGAATATCAAGTCATCCGTATCAGCGTCAAAGAAATCCACGCGCCCTCCTTCGTAATCCAGGTACACCCGGATCTTCCTGGGCTCGTATCTCAAGCTCAAGATTGTCCTCTCAGAGGATGTAAACGCTGTGAGCCGATAAGGAGACAATGGCGTCCTCAGTGAGTCTGGCAGGGCTTTGCCCAGAGCCCAGATTCCCCCGTTGGGATTGAAACTGACCTTTCCTTTCCTCACGACGGACTCTCTGGCAACTCCCACTGTCCAGATCTCCATGTTTTCTTTCAACTCCCATTGCCTTTCATTTGGACGAGACTCTCCTTTCCTCCTGACGGACGGTTCTTGCGAAGTCCGCAGGGCCTGCGGCGTCGCCTCTTCTACTTCCACCTCCCACCAGTGTCTTCCCGAAGCGAGCCTCTCTTGGCCCAGCACAAAGGGCTCCCAGTCGAATCGCGAAGGGTTGTCAGGCAGGTCCTGCGTCCTGCATCCCCATCTTACTCTCTTCAGGTCTTGGGAGAGGATGAGGTTGGCATGCGCTGTGCTGGGATCCAGAGTCACGTTCACTGTGGAGAAGAGAAAAAAGAAGGAAAAAAGGATGGCTGGATTTTTTATTATCATTATTAAAGATTTTCTTGTTTTACAGAAGTATGTGTAATGTCTTTCGTATTTTTTCCATGTAACATTTTTACAAATCCATTTCATTTGTTGAGACATTAGGGGGAGAAAAAAAGGGGTGGAGGGGGGGAAGATGGGTGGGGGTGGGGTGGGGATGTTTCTATTATGCTTAATGTATGTAGGGTTTGGTGTCAGCATTGCTTGTGCTGTTCACTTGTGTTCCTTTGGTGGTGAGAGAGGTTGGGGTTGGCCTAGGGTGTGGTTGTTTGTTTGTGGTTGGCTGTGGTGATCTTTGTTTTCGTGTGTGAGTGGGGTGGGTGGGTGTTTTGGATCAGGTTAGCCATATTGATTTGTATGCTGTTGGTGGATTATTGTCATTGACTTGTTGGGCTGTGTATGTGATAAAGGGGAGCCATACCGGGGTGAAGGCATCTTCGTCTATTTGTCCCCGTGTCAGTTTCAGTTTATTTGTTAATTTTTCTAGTAAGGCTGTTTCCCATACTATTTGGTACCATTGGTCCATGCTTACTCCTGACAGGTCTCTCCAGTGTCTGGTTATGGTGTTTCTGGCTGCTGAAAGTAAGTGGGTTATGAGTTCTTTGTGGTGTAAATGGGCATTGTTGTCTTGGAAGATGTTTAGTAGGGCCAATTCTGGGGTGATGTCTAATACTTGCTTAGTTATTTTACGTATTTCTCGTGTGGCTGTTGTCCAGAATAGTTGGATTTTGGGGCACTCCCACCACATTCCAACGCAAAAAGTAGTCACACCCCAGTCTTCAAAGGCAGAACCTTTGAATGATTCACATCGTTTGGCCCACCCATAGCCGCACACCACAACCACGCCACAACCACTGGTCTCTCTGGTTGCCCTTCCCCTGTCCCCCCCTCCAAGCATCACTGGAATCCCCTTTCTCACCCCCCCCCTTAGAAAAAGAGTCTTTTAGTAGGCAGCCAGAAAGCAAATCTCCAGCGGCCCTGCCCTCTTCCTTGGAAGGCCCCCTGTGCCCAGGTTATTTCGGAGAAGGGGAATTTAAAGGCTTGGCAGCTGGAAGTCCGTGCTACAGGGCACCCTGCCATTTTAAAAAGACATTTAAAAAAAATCAGGAGGCACAGGGCCCTGTGGGCTGCGGGTGCCAACAGACAGCTTAGGAAGCCCATACATTTGTCTGCCTGGAGAGACAATGGAGCATGCCTGGAGAATCAGTCACAATGCCTGCTGCAGCTACAGAGACCAGTGACTCACAGCGATCCGCTGCCTCCCGCATTGTTTTTGCTGCGTTTGCAGCACGGACGACCTTCCTGGGGTGCAACCCTACCCAAAAAAGAAAACAAGAGAAGGTGCCCTCCATCCGAGCTTCCACACTGTCCCCCACCCCATGCGCTTGATCCGATATATCAGGCGCACGGCTCAGAGGCGTGCCGTTTGACAGCGATTGTTTGGGCTGCATCTTATATATTTCTGGCAATGCTTTCTTTTTATTTTCCATGTTTGATTTTTCACGGGAATAGTTTCCTTTGTCCCACGACGTCGGTGTTTGACAAGGCCAGTTTGCAATTTATATTTTTAAGGAATATCAACAACCTCAGATATGCAGATGACACAACCTTGATGGCAGAAAGTGAGGAGGAATTAAAGAACCTTTTAATGAGGATGAAAGACGAGAGCGCAAAATATGGTCTGAAGCTCAACATCAAAAAAACAAAGATCATGGCCACTGGGCTCATCACCTCCTGGCAAATAGAAGGGGAAGAAATGGAGGCAGTGAGAGATTTTACTTTCTTGGGCTCCATGATCACTGCAGATGGTGACAGCAGTCCCGAAATTAAAAGACGCCTGCTTCTTGGGAGGAAAGCAATGACAAACCTAGACAGCATCTTAAAAAGCAGAGACATCACCTTGCCAACAAAGGTCCGTATAGTTAAAGCTATGGTTTTCCCAGTAGTGATGTATGGAAGTGAGAGCTGGACCATCAAGAAGGCTGATCACCGAAGAATGGATGCTTTTGAATTATGGTGCTGGAGGAGACTCTTGAGAGTCCCATGGACTGCAAGAAGATCAATCCTATCCATTCTGAAGGAAATCAGCCCTGAGTGCTCACTGGAAGGACAGATCCTGAAGCTGAGGCTCCAATACTTTGGCCACCTCATGAGAAGAGAAGACTCCCTGGAAAAGACCCTGATGTTGGGAAAGATAGAGGGCACAAGGAGAAGGGGACGACAGAGGACGAGATGGTTGGACAGTGTTCTCAAAGCTACCAGCATGAGTTTGACCAAACTGTGGGCGGCAGTGGAAGACAGGAGTGCCTGGCGTGCTCTGGTCCATGGGGTCACGAAGAGTCGGACGCGACTAAATGACTAAACAACAACAGTGCGCGCAAGTAGTGAGCCTCGTTGCGCAGCGCGTAAAAGTGCGTGGCGCCAGTGGCGTAGCGTTGGGGGTGCTGGGGGGGCCGGCCGCACCGGGCGCAACATCTGGGGGTTAGGGTTAGGGGGCGCAAATCCACGGGTTAGGGGGCACAAATTACTTGCCTTGCCCCGGGTGCTGACAACCCACGCTACGCCACTGCGTGGCGCCGGTCCCGGCAGATACCCACCCAACCGCGGTGACTTCCCTACCTTGTACTCTTGGGACGCCTCTTCCATGGGACACACGCGGTGCTCTCGGTGCTCCTTGGACCTGTCGCACACCACGCAGATGGGCGCTTCGTCGTCCTTGCAGAAGAGCTTCAGCGGCTCCTGGTGCGCTTGGCACATGCGCCCCTGCCCCGCGCCTGATGCGCGCCTTCCTCCCCCTTCTCCCTGTTGGAGTTTCTTGAGCAGCTCCGCGACGTTGGCTAGTTGCCGGTTGGGCTTGAAGTTCCTGGGCTGCACGGCTTCTTTGCACTCCGGGCAGCAGGAGGGAGAGTCGGGGCCGGATCCTTCCCAGAGACCCGCCAGGCAGGCGCGGCAAAAGTTGTGCCCGCAGTCCAGAGTCACCGGGTCTCTGAAGTAGTCCTGGCAGACGGAGCACGTCACTTCATCGCAGAGCCCTTGCACGGCCGCCATCGCTGCGTCTCCCTGGAGAGTCCTAAGAGACAACCTCTTTTTAAGTTTCGTTTCTCCCTTCCGAGGCTGCCTGGGCGTTTCCTTGCGGGTTGATCCCTGGGGAAAGCAGAGGAGGCTCCTGCGAGAATAAACCGCGCGGTGGAAGCTGGAGGAGCCGCTTTCAGAGCAGAAGCAGCTTAAAAATAAATAGAGAGAGCCTTAAAATATCAATGACTTCCCTTCTCCTCTATACATGTTTCATTTTGCATAACCTAAATCCCTGCATATTTTACTTAACTAAACTGAACCATTCAGCATTCCATTATTTCGTCCATCAAAACTTATTTACACTGTTGAATTTATCTTAAAGCTGCCCACGTTTTCAAATAAACACAATTTTCCTCCATATATCCAGTAAACATTTTCCAATCTTCTTTAAACGTATGTTCTTCTTGTTCTCTTATTCTATACATTAAATCTGCAAGCTGCACGTATTCCATCAGCTTAAGTTGCCATTCTTCTTTAGTTGGGACCTTGCTCGTTTTCCATTTTTGGGCTAAACGACACCTGGGAATTTCCATCTGAACTATCCCCAACAAAAAGGACTCGAAGTTTGCTTGTTTTTGAAAAGTGCTTTTAAACATTTTTTTCCAATTCATTACATTGATATTTTAAGGTTGTTTACATGAATATTCTAAAATGTAAAATAGAAAAATAAATTATATATATAAGTAATATATATATATAAATATTTAACAATAATATAATATAATATAATATAAGTGTGTGTGTGTGTGTGTGTGTATTAAAATAGAGTAGGGTTTTTTCATATATATTTATTTATATTTATATTTATTTTTCATATATTTATTTATAATAAACGTATAATAACCGAGGTCAATGGAAAGGGGGAAAAAGTTCAGAAAAGGACCATCAAAATGATCAAGGGGATCACTGGTCAGTCGCCATCTCTTAGCCTAGGCTACCTCACAGGGTTGTTGTGAAGATGAAATGGGGAGGAAGAGAACCATGTACACCACCTTTTGATCCTTGGAAGGCTAAGGTGGTGTAATAAATAAATAAAATAAGAAAGGCTGCAATGTTTGGGACTTTTTAGTTGAAAGGCACTCAAGAGGCAGCATGAGAGAACTTTACAGTGGTACCTCGGGTTAAGTACTTAATTCGTTCCGGAGGTCCGTTCTTAACCTGAAACTGTTCTTAACCTGAAGCACCGCTTTAGCTCATGGGGCCTCCTGCTGCCGCCGCGCTGCCGGAGCACGGGTTCTGTTCTCATCCTGAAACCTGAAACAAAGTTCTTAACCTGAAGCACTATTTTTGGGTTAGCAGAGTCTGTAACCTGAAGCGTATGTAACCTGAAGTGTATGCAACCCGAGGTACCACTGTATAAGTTTCCAAGCATAATTCAAAGTGTTGGTGTTGACCTTTAAAGCCCTAAATGGCCTCAGTCCTGTATACCTGAAGGAGCGTCTCCACCCCCATCGTTCTGCCCGGACAATGAGGTCCAGCTCTGAGGTCCTTCTGGCGGTTCCCCCACTGTGAGAAGCAAAGTTACAGGGAACCAGGCAGAGGGCCTTCTCGGTGGTGGCACCCTCCCTGTGGAACGCCCTCCCACCAGATGTCAAGGAAATAAACAAGTATCGGACTTTTAGAAGACATCTGAAGGCAGCCCTGTTTAGGGAAGTTTTTAATGTTTGATGTTTTATAGTGTTTTTAATATTCTGTTGGGAGCCACCCAGAGATAAATTATTATTATTATTATTATTATTATTATTATTATTATTATTATTATTTACTACTACTGTGAGAACAGGATGCTGGACTAGATGGGCCATTAGCCTGATCCAGCAGTCTCTTCTTATGTTCTTAAAACAAAAGTAAAATGGAATAGCCAGAACTAAACACATTAGAACAAATTTCCATACAAAAATCAAACACTATAGATTAATAGCGCAAGGTTCCAAGTAACATGATGGAGTCAGAGGTAATGAAAGGCATACAGCCCATTAATTCTAGTTTTGTCCCTATCTTCTTCTTCTTTTATATAATAACTTTTATTAAATTTTCTGCTTTATAATTTAATAAACATTTTACAAACTTCAAAATATCCAGTGACTTCCCTTCTTTTCTTTCCATGCTTCATTTTACATATCCAAATCCCTGCATATTTTACTATAACCATTCAAATCAATTTTCCACTTTTACATCCATCAAGAATTATTTACTCTGTTGAGGTTATCTTAATGCTGCCAGTGTTTTCAGCTGTACAGAGTTATTTCCCATATACTCAATAAATGTTTTCCAATCTTCTTTAATTGTATGTTTTTCTTGCCCTCTTGTTTTGTCCCTATCTTTTAACCTGTTGATTTCTGGAAAATATTTTTAATTTATTTACGTTTATACAGTGTGCATTTTATTTCAAAATATTAGGATGCTAAGTTACATAGAAGTTAGAACATGTTAGGAAACTTGTTTTCAAATTGTTTTATGACTAGATAGGCTGGAGGAAGTTAGAAGGAAATTGTTACATTGACCATGATTAGTTTACACAACTCTTTATTTATCTTGTTTCCTTATCTTGTTTCTTTAAATTGCTGCTTTTAACTGTGTTTACCAATATTTTATGTTTCATTCTTTTTGTAAACAATTCCAAGATCTCTTTTTAAAGAATCACATGGTGTATAACTTTTATGAAATAAATAAAATGAATAAATACCCAGAAGTGGCTAAAAGCGCCTCCAGACAGTCACTATTTTGTGGTAAGTTGTGGTAAGTTTGCATCAGAAATTTAGGTTTGAACATTTAAAGGAGGGGTCAGCAACCTTTTCCAGCCATGGGCCAGTCCACCGTCCCTCAGATCATGTGGTAGGCCAGACTATATTTTTTGGGGGGAAATGAACGAATTCCTATGCCCCACCAATAACCCAGAGATGCATTTTAAATAAAAGCACACATTCTACTCATGTAAAAACACGCTGATTCCTGGACCGTCTGTGGACCGGATTGAGAAGGCGATTGGGCCGCATCCGGCGCCTGGGCCTTAGGTTGCTTACCCCTGATTTAAAGGTTTGAGCATTTAAAGTGGAGCTGGTCACCTACCCCAAGGCAACAAACCCACTTAACGAAAAAAATAACCTGACTTCCTGCAGTTTGGAAAGTGTCTAAGAAATGCATTAAAAAGTGTGGGCTAACTTAATAACAGGGAGGCACGCATACACTCTGAAAGCAAATAAGGAGATTGATTTATTTATCCATCGCCTTTTGAAACGAAAGAGCCACAAAGCGACTTGTGAAAGGTTTAAAGACAAAAATACAGCAAATATTCAATCGGTTAAGACTAAAGTGTTCATTCGAATAATCAATGAAGGGGTTTTGTACCCCATCCAACCAGGATGTGGATGAACGCAGAACAAACGTCTGTCTGTCGCTGTGTAACTGCCACACCAGCAAAGCGGGAGGAATATTCGGGAAAGACTAGATAAAGCCAAACCTTCATGTAAGCAAATGAGGGTGAATGCTCGATAAATGTGTTGCCCTGAGGGGCTCAGACTGTAGCCTCTTGCTTGGCTCTGAGCATATGTTATGTACTGAGTTGAATAGGGTCCAAAAGGCAGCAGTCTGATTGGTCCTAGAACAATAGGATTCAGAATACAGCAGTCTGATTGGTCCTAGAACAATAGGATTCAGAATGCAGCAGTCTGATTGGTCCACAGGAGCCACCCAATCCAGCTCCAGGTGGAAGTGAATCCGCAACCTAATTGGCCTACAGGTGAATCCCGGAATTAGCCAATCACATGGGGCCCATTGTGTAAATAATGTATATAAAGCAGACATTCTGGGGGAACTTCCATTCCTCCTCACCACTATGAGTTGAATAAAGAGCATGAAATCCACTCTCGACTCCGAGTATATTTCAGCATAGATCTGAGGTGGGGAACCTGTGGCCCTGCAGATGTTGGTCATCGTTCCCACCAGCCCCCTAGCCAGCATGAAGGGATGATGGGAGCCTCTGGAGGGGCCTCAGATTCCCACCCCAATGATCGGAGTCAAAAGGGCCTCCATTAATGGTGTTGTGTGTGGTGTAAATGAGGATTCCCCTCAAGATTCAGCAATTCATTGTGACCCCTGAGACCACCTGGAAAAAGGGCAGGATCCTCTCCCCAGAGAAGGAGGCTGAAGAGAAAGCAAAGATCAAGCCATCTGAATCGGCATCAAAAAAGTGGACCTGGCCCGCTTCATAGTCCAGGGACACCCGGATCTTCCTGGGCCCATGGCTCAAGGCCAAAGGAGTCCACTCAGGGGAAGTTAAAGCAAACAGCTGGCAAGGCCAAGGCGGGCCGTGCGGTCTCTTCCCCACAGCCCAGATGCCTTCCTTCGGACTGAAGCTGAAACACCCCTTCCTCCTGAGGGAAACTTGCGCCACCCCTAAGGCCCACATTGCCCCTTCCTCCTCTTCCACCCCGACCTCCCACCAGTGTTTTCCCGACACAAATCTCTCGCAGCCCAGCACGCAGAATTCCCTGTCAAATCTCCTGGGGTTCTCGGACAGACCCCGATATCCGTCTTCCCATCTCACGCTGGTCAGGTCCTCTGAGAGAACCAGGAAAGGGTGTGCCGTGTCGGGATCCAGAATCACGTTCACTGAAGGGGGAAAGAGAGAGAAAGGAAAGAAAGTGAGCGGGGTTAAAAAAAGAGAGAGAGAAAAAGAAAAGTTTGAGCTTGGTGGCTGCCGAGTGACCAGGGCCTCCCAATAATAATAATAATAATAATAATAATAATAATAATTTTTTATTTATATCCCACCCTCCCCATCCAGAGCCTGGCTCAGAGCGGCTAACAGCAATAAAAGTAAAACAGCATCCTAAAATCAATATTCTAAAATCAATTCAAAATCAAATGGCAACCACTGGGCCGGAGTTCTACGAGGATCGCCAAAGGCTGTGCCTTGGCCAAAGGCCTGGTGGAACAGCTCTGTCTTGCAGGCCCTGCGGAAAGATGTCAAGTCCCGCAGAGCCGTCTCCT